ACACTAAGTTTATTACAATCACGAGATTCTAAATTTTTTTTTCTTCACTTAATTAGGACTAGAATTTTTACCAAAGATTTAGATTGAAATTTTTGAAAAGGTTGGCGTCACCTTAACGGAAAGACAAAAGTAACCCTGTTTCTGGTGGACCAAGGGTAGATATTGGCCACATTTCATTTTCCGATATTTTTGGTTCTGTTGGGTGAAAAAGCGACTTGTCTGTCTTGAGCGTAGGACCATGCAGTGGAACTTTGTTTCCTCTATTTCCTCAGATAAGTGATTGAAAAGGAAAGTCCATATGGCAGAATAAACCTTGGAAGTGTGTGTGTGTGTATGCACATATTGGTATGTAATAGTTTACCTATGTAAGTGAAATTTTTTTTCAGTGTGACCAATACATGAGGTGGTACATTACGTGTCATTATACAAATAGTAGGATGTGTGTGTTAAAAAGTTAATAACTTAAAAAATAAAATTTCTCATAATTTATATAAAAACACGTGGTGTGCCCCCGTGTTTTGGTCACAATAATTTTTTTCTCCTATAAGTGGTAATTCCACAAGATATTGGAGCACCAAGGGCAGTTGAGAAAATGCCAAGCTTCCCATATTTAACGTCAAAAGTATTTTTAAAATTTTAATTTCAAGCGGTATTACTATTTTATATATTAATCTAAGAAAATAAAAAAAATGTGAACTTTAGAGAAAGATTTAAAACTCGTTTAGAATTACTTTTAAAATGGTTGAAAGCGCATGTGGTGAAAACATTTTTGGAGCCAAATCTTGGTAAAAATACAAGTTAATCTTATAAAAGCACTTCAAGTGTTTTAATTTGGACTCAAAAACATTTTTTCTAAAAACGTTTTAAGTGATTTTCAAAGCAACTTCCAAACGAACACCAAGACAGAATACTTACAAAGTTAATTTGTTTTATTAGAAGATTTTGTTTTTTTTTTTTTTTTTTCCATGGGAAATTTACAAGTTCGATTAAGAAAAAAGAAAGGAGAAAAAAAATATACGGAATCGGACTGACCTGAATAACAAGAGGAGGAATATCCAAGAAACTGAGAGTTTCCACCCTGTACAAGAGTTTCCTCCAAGACCTGTTTGGCCTGCTGGAAAGTTTAAGAAAATCCTGAGCAGTGATGTCCATGAAAGCCTCGGCAAATAGAGCACCTTCTCCATTGCAGTCAACCTCGAGCTTCTGGTCATGGTCAGCGTTGCTTCTCAACCTCCCAGCCAATGGATAGTAGCCAACAAGGACGTCAGAGAGGGCATGTTTTAGGGTTTCTAAGTTGACAGATTTCTTGAAAAGGTAGAGATATTTGATGGAGAATCTGAGAAACTTTTGGTCGTCGAGATTTGAGAGGTGGATGCAATGCTTTGGGGTGGGGGAGTTTGGGCCGATTAATATTGGTTGATTTGGGTAGTAACAATCTGGAAGTTGTTCTTGAGATTTTAACATCTTGCTTATTTGCAGTAGTTGCTGATGGCTGGAGAGAGAGAGAGAGAGAGAGAGAGAGAGAGAGATAATCGAGAGACAAGGCAAGTGAGAGGGGAGCTAGGTAGCTAAGTAGTAGAGTGGAGAAACAATATCTACGGTTGGATATGAGGGATGGTACGATGAGATTCCTTTGTGGGGTAAGGCTAGCAAGAGGGCGTGTGTATTAGGGGTTACAATATGCCCCCACTTCTCCATTATTATTAAAAAGTCATTGGCAAAGTTGTTAATTGCAAATTACTGCCTATTCATGTGCAAAACCTTGCGTGTAACCGTGATTATATCGCTTTTTCAGTCTCATCACGTAATTAGGTTATGTGATGAGATAGATATCTGGTGAAGATATATCATGTTACATGACATAATCTCACAATAATGCATGAAAGTTTTTGTTGGTGACGTTGTAAGTTTTGCTCTTTTAGCCTACGTAATGTCCTCTCGATAAGTGCGTAATAACTATTTTCGAGTCCTAATAACTTTCTATTTAAGTACCAAGCATTTCTTAAGTAATTTGAGGTCCCATGTCTTTAGATATTTGTTAGCACTAATTATGGGATTAAAGTCATACTTTAGACCAGTACTACTTGCAAAGCTCTTTTAGTCTAGTTATTAGTCATTATATGTCAGTTTGGTAAGCTATAACTCTTTCTCAATTTTTACCTATGCTTTGTTTAATATAAAATTTAATTTTGACCATGATTATTGCTTTTGACCGCAATAGCAAACAGACACTGACTTAATTTGTGTTGATGTATGAATTCACTCAAATTAAAACAAGACGACTTTCACTCTTATGTTCCCAACTAGGAATTTTATTTTACTTAAAATCAATATATTCCTTTGAAATGGTGACAACAAACGTTGCAAGTGTCCACGGAAATTATTACAACATAATATTCTTATTTTTCGAGAGAATTTTCAGCATGCTCGGAATACAGATGGTACACCACGTTTCGTCGTACAAATGGAGGGACAGTTGCAAAACAAAAGCTTCGTCGTACAAATAGAGGGACAGTTGCAAAACAAAAGCTTTCTCTACTTATATAATGACTTGTGGTGTACCACCTAGGATTATTATACAAATGGAGTGGTCTGGGCACATTGAAAATTTTCTCCTCTTTTTGACTCTTTGTAGTAATTAAGCCAAGCTTAGATTAATATTGGATGTTTCGAGATTGATTAAACAAATTATTTAGCATTAGATTGATGGCACTGAGCAAAAGGAAAAGGGATCAAGGAAAAAGAAATGACAATGGATTGGCCATCATTCAATATTTGTCCCAAACCAAAGGCAGACCTTTTAAAGGAAAACAAAGACGCCAACCCTTGAAGTTGCCAAGATGGAAAGTATCAAAATTTGCCTTCTAACCTTTCACTTCCATTTTATATATTTCCTGATGAGGTAAAAGTAAAACGTGTTGGAAAATAATAAGTTTAGGAATTGAGTCTCAGTCTATTAGAATTAGGCTTTTATTTAGAGACTAGAGTTTAGTTTATTACAAATATGATGCTTATTGTTCTCTTGTGAATAAATAGGTCACAATATAGGGCTTGTTTGAATGTACTTTTAAAATTACTAAAAGTGCTTTTAGAAAAAATATTGTTTGGTTTCAAAAGCACTTAAAGTGCTTCCTTGCTTCTCCCAGAAAACACTTTACCAAAATTTACTTGCATTTTTACTAAGAATTGGTTTAAAAAACATTTTCACCAAAAATGTTTTTAATCATTTCAAAAGCACATCCAAATAAACTCATAGCTGTCTCAGTACTCAAGTGCTTGGACCATTTATCAGAGCTATGAATTTAAAGAGAAACCTCGGTAAAGCTACATAATTAGGGTCACTTTCACATTGATTGAAATGATAGTTAATTTAAGTGAAATTAAAAGCAAAAAAATCTCATATTTTGTGAAAGATGTCAAAACAACGTTGTAATCGTTTGAATGGCAAAGAATACTCTAGGAGAATATTATTTTACCTAGAAGAAGAGTGGGGCGAGCTGGATTTGGATTTGGGAAATAGACAATCTCATATTGTTCTTCCTGCTGGTGGTTGTGGGGCTGCATCATCAGCCACCAGGGTGTCAGTCATGACTTGGATGCCACGTGCTTCGGGAAATGGGAAAAAGAGGGAAAAGGATCCTCTCGCCGGATCCTTTTCTTGGCTTCCGGAGAATTCTATGATCATGATCATTCATCGTACATCGTGCGATCATAAATCATTTTAAATTTAAGGGAATTGTTATTAGCACTCCAAAAATCTCATTTGGCACTCCAAACTTTCCATAATTAGAAAGAAAAATACACTTGTGAGGAGTGTAAAATGAGATTTTTAGAGTGCTAATAACAATTCCCAAATTTAAAGTTAAATATATATAGTACTTAATGAAAACTGATCGCATGATGTACGATATGATCATGGGATCCCCCGGATCCCCAGAAAAAGGATCCGGCGAGAATCATTTTTCGAAAAATAGGCCAACACAAGGAGAGAGGATTGTCCAATCACATCCGTTCATCATATATCGTACGACCAGTTTTTGTCAGGTACTGTTTATATTCAATTTTAAATAATAAAAAAATGCTTTCTTACCGCACAATGTACGATGAACGGATGTGATTGAAGGATTCCCAAGTTCCTCACAAAGAGGATCTGGTAAAAATCCTTCGGGCAACACAAGAAACAAAAGAAAAGATTCCCCTCAGCTGGACGGAGGAGGATTCTCTACCCTTCTAATCTCTCTACCCTTCCATGCCCTCCTATTTGAACGGTCACGGTTAAGTCACGTTAACATCTTATATTGATTTTTTATAGAGACAATAAGACAAAAAACAATGTATGAGAGGAGGGGATGGAAGATGATAGGAATAAGAGGGTAAAGAATTCTCCTCCCAACTAGACTTGTTGTATATCACCGTTGTATTGATGTACCTCAAGTATGGATTGTTCTCCAAACATTTGGCAATGAACAAGTAACACTTGTCCTTTTAATTTAAGTTTATCTTTTCTTTCATTATCTTACGAAGAATACAATATTTTACAACGAGATAATTCACCCGCAATAGAAACACGCCACCGTATAAACCAGCCAATGAACAATTAAATTAATATCAAACTCATCTTGTAAGTATATGACCGAGTAGACCTCCTCTATTTCCATGTTAATGGAGAGTTACATTTTTTGAAGAGAATTTCTAATTAGAGATTCTTTTGGCATGTTTCGATGTATTCAATGCACTTTAGTTTTTAGCCGTTATATTTTTTGTTTGAATTCAAATAATTAAAATGCAATAGAAAAAAATTTCAATGCATAAAAATGTACTAGAGCATAATAAAATTCTGAGGGTAAGTGTTCACCGGTTATTCCCTAGAAAATTCCTGATTTCTTGTGAACAAGTGAAAACCTAGGTTTCATTACCATGAAACTTAATATCATCCTTAATTTAAGAATTCCCCTATTCTGTTTGGGGAATTAAATTTTTTTAAAATCAATATAGAGTATCGTAAACTCGGGACTACAAGATCTTATATGAGGTGAACGTTCTCAATCAACTAAGAGTACAGACTCATTATATCCTCAAGTATAATTAAGAAATTTTAAGATATTCGATGAATGTTTATTACTTCAAGGGATGGGCAAATAAAACATATACTAATCCATCCAATTTAAGACTCGAACACTTTTATGCTCTGACAATATGGTGTCCTCTTTCTTCTACTGCATTGAATGAGAATTCATTCCAGATTATGTCTGTATCTTTAATTAATCCAAAGTTCCTTCGCTGATTAGACGGGCGATTAGATGGGCGATTAGACACGATTCCCGTCGTTAATAACCATTAGTCAAACTAAATCAAACCAATATATTCATCACCAAACAGAAAAAGCAACGAAACCAAGCATCATATTCCTAAAGCAAATGTATCTGTGCATAATTGATGATGTCAAAGATTACCAAGAATTTGAAATTTAAGAGCAGCAGATACCTTTCATCGGTAACTTTAGACGTAGATTAGCTGAATAGAGTAAGTGGCATCCGGGTGCTTTCTTTAGTATTAGCCATTTGGAATGAGCACACGATCTGGACGGCATTTCGCTATCGGCTATTCCACGGATAATCTAGAGAAAGATAAGTCCCATTATCCAAGTTTCCTTCACACCACTTCTGTTCAGAATCTCAGAGATGGTGAAATGAATCAAGTTCTTCCAAAAAGACATCGAAACTGTGCAGTATATATACCCTGATAATCTCCAGCACACAAGTATTAAAAAGAATTGAACTTGACATTTTTTTGTCTAGATGCAAGTCAATCGAACCATTCGCTAAAGCACACAGAACTCAACTGGTCAGTTTACTAGCCTGATTGTGACCCGTGTATTGTGTCGATGGGCTTCCAATGTGTTTCCCTTTCTGCAGTAGAGGGCATGCTTCCTGCTGATACATCAGAGTCCAACGCCCAGTCGCTTCATGTCATTATAATTAACGTCAATAAGTAGAACACATCCCTCAAGTTCTACCACATTGCAGAAAGTTATGTTTTAGTGAGTCAATCATGATAGTACACAGAACAAAGATTCAATCTGATTTGGTACAAGCAACTAGCTCTATTTTTTGATTTGGTGTAAACGAAATAAGCGATAGAGAAATAAAAAACGAACATACTAGGGAGATGAGATATTACAACCCAGCAACGTAGGAATTTGAGTGTGTGGCATATCTCACCCATCGATATGGATTGTGGCTCTTCCACTTATTTGTTATATGCAAGTACTTTACCTGTATCGAGACAGATGAAGAAACACAACATATTAGAATAACTGAGAACACATGATTATAGACTATGAAAAATCTAAAATACAGATCTGGTTCTCGTTGTGAGTTTGATTTTAAATTAAGGTCAACTAACTCACCTAGATGGCTACTTTAGAACCTAATTTTGATTTACACATAACATTCACCTGTAGGACAAGAGTCAGTTTTAATTTGGTAGCACTGCCTACGTAGACTCCCAGCCCTTGTTTCTACACAATTCTAATAGCATTAAGAAAATTTAAGCTCTGAGTTTGTACCATAGGTCAACAGAAATTGGATGCATCTGGTTAGGTCCTTAGAAGGTCAAGAGAAAATCTTACCAGAAGCCTTTAAGCATTGACCATAGGTATTGTGAAGGTCATGCTAAGAGGTCCAGCTTCTTTGGTAATATTTCCTACATCAGTACAAATGCAGAAACAAAGTAGAATTTACACACCAGTTTCTTTTTCATTCTTCTGACACATAAATGACATTGAATATAATATAGCATTACAGGCTCCAAAATAAAATAGTGTATACAAAGTGATTCCTGTGAAAATGTCAGCTTTGCCTGTAATGTAAGTTCAGATCCACCAACAATCTACAATGTAAGGCACCTGTTACTAATTTCGAACACTGAAGCAAACCCATCAGTTGTGTTTCAAACCGCTCCAGGTTCCAACTCAAAACTAACCCTGACGTAGCCCAGAGCGGACGAGATAATCAGTGATGCAAATATGGAACCAGTTTGAAAGATTAAATTTTTCCCCATTCTTGCATGTGGTTACCTAAAGATTTATCGCTGAGTAAAAGTTCATCCAAATTTTCTAAAAGCTGTCCCAAGTTTGAACTGAAACATAATAAATAGTGTGTAATATACAAGAGACAATTCCATGAAACATATTAAAGAGGAGAAAGAAAAGGAATAATTTAGGAAATGAATTGTCTGCCTAACTGGAATTGCTCCACTGTTGTTGATCCTGTCAATCCTGAACCCTACTTGAAAGTATCAACGTTTACATAAGAGTTCCTTTATATGCTTTTCTATATGGTTAATCATAACCAACGATAACATTACCGAGAAGTTCAGTAAATCATATATGTGGAGTTGCTTATAAAAGTATAATATTATCATACATTAATGATCAATGGCTAGTTTGGTACAATATAGGTCAAATATCTACAAATAAAAGTTAACAATTAAAGTCTATGCTCTATGCTCTTCAGTCAAAAGAAGCAAAATATAAGACAGCAGACCAGAAATCTAACATTAATTTTGCTCTAACTCTAAGGTAGGCATTTGCTGTATATGCTGGCAGCGGAATCTGCACAAGGATTTTATCTGCAATAATGCTTGAGGGGAAATCAGCCTAACAAAGCATGATTTAGATGGAATCAGATGTTACTATTTTAAGATACAAGAGTTTTTTGAACTTTTTCTTCACCTTAGACAGTCCTGTTTCTTCAATAAACGCATTAATACGAAAGGATGGCTTGAACTCCTGAGTAATGCGGTAATTCATGACAGGAAATTCACCATCGGTTGGTACCTATTAAACAGTGGCGTGATCTATTAACTTTAGCACTAACAGAACAGTAGTTATATCTCCATCCTCAAGAAGTACTGCAGACGATTAAAAATTACAGTGTCTCAATCAGACTCACCAATGTAAGTGTTATGTCAACATTGAAACTATCAAGATGTACAGATTCGTGGAAATTACAATCGTCCAGTATAACAACCCCTGTTCCTAAAATATAATCTGTTGGAAGAGGCAGCAATTTCAGATTAAGAGGGCAATGCTACTAACAGTACTGACATCCAAATCTCACAGATCACACTCAATCCCAGCAAACCATTAAAGAAAGATAGTAAAAGAAGACTACCGAGCAAGTCAAATTTCTGGATTGCCTGTGAGATAACTCTTCAATTGGATGGTACCATCAATCTCAGAAGTATATATCCCTGCAAGAACAACATCATAGTAATCAAAACAGCTCAAAATTGATTACCACCTGGGGGTTGTGACGCTAACAAGAAATAAAAATGGTGAGCCAAACACGAGGTACTTACACTGGAACTGAAAGTAACACTCATTTTTTCAATTACGTCCACAAAATTTTCCTCTCTCTTTCTACCTCCACGCTCATTTGCAACAACAGATTTTGCGATTGTCGTCACTGGCATTCTTTTGGCCTGATACCAACATGCAAGTTTAGCAAGTCAATCAAACCATACAATTCAATCAGAACCAACCAAAAATACTGCCACCAGAATGCAAATGATCATATAAATAATACCGTAAAAATTCCAACAGAACCCAGAGGCAGTAACTGCACAGGATCAACCACAACCGGCTCATTGAACACATACGACTCCCATAATATACAAAAGGTTAGCAAGATTACACACACATAAGTCACAAAATGCAGGACTTTGAAGACACTCACAATGATTTGGTCCAGCAACTCGTACACAAGCACGAAATTTTTTCGCAACGATTCTTCGCCAAGGACCCGAGGTAGTCTTTAACAACTCCAGAAATTCTTCTCAAAATTCCAAAACAAGAGAGGGAGACGAATTCACTCTATGTTACTCATGCAAAATCGAAAATTGATTAATTTTTCGCAAATGCATTAATCTAAATGATTCTAAATAAATAAATAAGAACACTGAAAATACCTACAAAGACAGGCGGTGCGTCGCCGTCGCCGTCGCCGTCGTCCTTCCAGACCTTCGCTTTCCGGAAGAAAACCTCCGCGTTTCCCTTCGGAACTCCTCCGCGATCTGCATCAAATTTTCAAAATTTGAAGCCTGAAACCACATAAATTCGAAAAATTTGAAGAACCGAATCAAATGCGAGCGAGTGAGAGCGAGACTTACAGCCGCGGAAGACGATGCCGTCGCCCCTCTCTCCGCGAAAACTCGAAGCTTCTTCTTCCTGTGGATTTGGCGCCACGTTTTAAAGTCACGAGCCAATCACGTGACTCCAACGAGACGACGACGTAGCGATGCCGTTCAATCCCCGCCCTGCTAAAAAAAAAGATGGGTCCCGCCGATTAAAAATATCCGTTGGTCTTCTCGCTAGCGTTAAAAGAGCGAAATCCGGTGGGAGATGCTGCGATTCGTCATCCATCGGACAAAAACAAGAAATAAATAATTAAATTAAAAATAATAATCCAGAAAATATTAAAAAATAATTAAAATCCGCATCATAATTGTCACGAGCTCTTCCCCTCTCTGCTCTAACCGCGACGAGATCACGAATCCACAGCTCTCCGCTCGTCAACCGCCGATATTTCTACGCACCCAGATCGGAATCCGAGTTCCCAATTCCAGATGACTTGATTCGGTGAATTCGGGCGCGAAATTGGAACTAGGGTTTGTGTCGGTGGAATTGGGGCAAGTTTGCGGTGGATTGGATGAGAATTGGGACTGATTCGGACCAGGGATAGCGGAGTGGATGGGACTGGACTGAAAAAGGTAAAATCTTTCTGTTTGTTTGATGAGAATCTGATAGCTTTCTGCGGGAAAAAAGAAGAAATTAATCGAATTTGTTAATGTGAAGGAAAAATGGCGACGCAAGTGGAGCCTCCGAACGGGATCGGGGCGAAAGGGAAGCATTACTACTCGATGTGGCAGACGCTGTTCGAGATCGACACCAAGTACGTGCCGATCAAGCCGATCGGGCGGGGAGCGTACGGCATCGTTTGCTCGTCGGTGAACAGGGAGACGAACGAGAAGGTGGCGATTAAGAAGATCAACAATGCGTTCGAGAACCGAATCGACGCGCTGCGGACACTGCGGGAGCTGAAGCTGTTGCAGCACCTCCGGCACGAGAATGTGATTGCCTTGAAGGATGTGATGATGCCGATTCAGAGGAAGAGCTTTAAAGACGTGTACTTGGTGTACGAGCTCATGGATACCGATCTCCACCAGATTATCAAGTCTTCGCAGCCGCTTTCGAATGATCACTGTCAGTATTTCCTCTTTCAGGTAATGTAAATTGATTGTTTTTGGATTCGGATTATCTTTCGCTTTGTTTTGTTAGTGAAATTGTTACCAAATTGGTGATTTAATCGGTATGAACTCGTACTCTCGTACATATATTGTCGAATTTACTTTGCTATCTTGTCCATTGTTGGCTACTTGGAAGATGAAACATGTTTACATTTTGGAATGCTTCATAGAAGCTGATACTGCAGAACACTTTTGATAGTTCTCGCTCGATTTCATGAAAATTCGGAGACAGGACCGCTGCACTAGCGTTGTTGAACATAGATTGTTGAGTGGTGCTACTGTTTCTTTCATCAATTTGAATTTGAATTATTGATTTGGTTTAGACTAGGGCTTTTAAGGGATGAGTATGATGGATGGATTGAGCTGCTAGATTTGCTTTTGCCATGCTTCCTTTATGCCTTTCGTTCTTTTTCTTTTTTCAGAAAAACCCTTTTTTGTACTTCTTGTTGTTAATTTATTTCTTTCTACGGAATTTGTCCTCCATTGTTTCGAATTTAAAACTTTTGGAGAGGATATATTCACAGTTGTCTTTTGTGTTAATCTTTTTTTTTCACTTGTACTGAAGAAAATAGAATTTCCTTGCAGCTGCTTCGAGGCCTACAGTATCTCCATTCTGCAAACATTCTCCATCGTGATTTGAAGCCTGGAAACCTTCTTATCAATGCAAACTGTGACTTAAAAATATGTGATTTTGGGCTAGCGCGCACCAGCACAGGAAAGGACCAGTTCATGACCGAGTATGTTGTCACTCGTTGGTACCGTGCCCCTGAGCTCCTGCTCTGCTGTGACAACTATGGAACGTCGATTGATGTGTGGTCTGTTGGGTGCATCTTTGCTGAGCTTCTTGGCCGGAAACCTATCTTCCCTGGTACAGAATGCCTCAACCAGCTCAAACTCATAATTAACATCCTTGGCAGCCAGAGGGAGGAGGATCTCCAATTTATAGACAATCCTAAGGCGACGAAATACATAAAATCGCTGCCCTTTTCTCCGGGGACCCCCTTTACCCGCCTTTACCCTGATGCTCATCCTCTAGCAATTGATCTACTGCAAAAGATGCTTGTTTTTGACCCATCAAAGAGGATTAGCGTCACTGAAGCACTCCAACACCCATACATGGCCCCATTGTATGATCCTAGTACCAATCCTCCAGCCGAGGTACCTATTGATCTCGACATAGACGAGGATTTAGGAGAAGAGACGATAAGGGAGATGATGTGGAGGGAAATGCTTCTTTACCATCCCGAAGCTGCTACAGACAATGCCGCAGTGTTTTCCTGATCATCTTCTTTCTAGCTTCGCTATGTAGAACTTTGAAATGCGTCTTCCATTCCAATAATCTTGAAGCAGCATGCTTCAGCGGGTCGCTCACGCCTTCAGTAGCTTTGTTAATAATAAGTTACGAGCAGCTATGAACCTGAGCCCTGCATATGATTGGCGGCGTTTAATGTTTGTATATATGTGTGCTTTTGTACGTCTATGGAGTCCGGAACTGGTTTCCTTTTGTAATTAACGAAGATGCCATTTTACGTCCTCGAAATTTTGTATGATAGACTGAAATTTTACCATGGAGGCATGCTATTGAGACACCGATGCAGCGATACTTCTCCTTTCACTGTTCGATTAGTTTCACAGTTCAAAATTAAGTAGTGATTTCCACGCGTCAATGCGTATTCCTGTTTATTGGATTGAATGAATCATAAAAGAAATGGAGGTCCATAAGAGGTGGTCCGTGTGCCAGCACTGCTGTCCTAGTATTGAGGCCCATATGGCTGCTTTGTTAAAGCCAACATTCCTGTGTATACAGGAAGACTAGTTATGGTATACGCGCCTTGGCGGGTGGCACGTATACCTCCAGTACTAGTCACTGTTGGGATCCTTTTTCCTTTGTGGGGAATGAGATCGAGTTCAGGCACTTACCTTCCGCACCATCTTTAATGTCCCTACGTTTGGGTCAGGAGCCTCGCGTTATTGAGCTCGGCAATTAACATCCGTGGACGTCTATGGCAAACACAGTCGATGTGGGATTACAAGATAAATGACGTTGGGTTTTATTTTGCCCTTTTCGAGGCCCGAATTGGGTTTGGGTTGGTGTGTCTCCTTCTTCTTCAAGAAGGCTTGGGCCAATTTCCAAGAAAAGGGCCTGTCCGTTTTAAAACTGAAGGTCTACAAGCATTCTCCTCACTAGTAATTTTTTACGAGCAAAAAACAATTTCAGTTATTTAATCAAGCATTTCATCGAACACTTTGTGAGGTTATTGTCATCAATCAAATTATATTGTGCACATGTCAACAGACATCGACGTATGTGGAAACAATCTGGTGATTGATGTTGAGTGTTATCGACGCAACCTGTCGACACACACTTGCAGGCATTACAGCGAACGCTTGGTGGGTGCAAAAGGGATCTGTAAACATTTGGAGGGTTCTCGTAAGACCTTCACATGTATATCTCCCGGACTCTGAGTGTTCCTAACCTTGATCCCAATATGCATATGTCCTTAGTATTTGACTATGTCGATCACTTTTATTACATGTATAATACTTTTTTTTTTTGTCAAACAATAGATTTTGTTAGATTAGTTATTAGATTAACGACCGACAAGGTTTGAATATACGCCGTTATGAAATGACTCAACTTCTTTCCACCACCATGATAAATGACCACCTGCATAATATGTATAATATTTCATCTTGTGACTTTTGTTTTCGATACCCGTATCAGTTTTTCATCCCGCTAATTAAAATACATGCCAAGTTGGCGTCGTGTTTCACGTGGTGATGTTCCCATGAATTAAAAAACAATGCCATATATGAGAAAGGGACGATTAAAGCAAGATTTTTCTTTTTTTTTTCTTTTGTATTTTTGGTGGAACTCTTTTCTCCTTTTGCCCTTTTCAGAAAATTGAGAGAGTTTTAATTGGATGAGAGTGAGTGTCGTGCTTCTTTGACACACAAATTTCTTTGAGTTATTGGTCTCAAAACATCCATGCAAAAATTAGGCACCACCGACATTTTATGCCACTTTAATCCGTCTTCGTCTCCACCAAAGAATTTGGGCCAGTTCTTTTTGGTTCTTGACGTACGTCCAACCAACCAATCAACTTATTGGGCACCTTTCAACTTTCCAACCACCAAACCTACCTAGCTAACTAACCATGATGCTCACATGTGTTGAGATTCCATAAAATAGTTTCCACCTATTCTAATAATTTGAAAAAATTTGAGATTTCACTGTAAAATCGGGTGGCGATATAGAAGTTTTTCTAACTTTTTGTAAAGACATGCAAGGTCGGTTTTTTAATTTGCTGACACGTAATTTACACTTTTAACACATTTTACCACTCTCATAACATGACCAGTTGTGTAATGAAAGATATAAATAAATAAAAATAGTGAAGCAATTACATTTGAGATCTTGTTATAGACATGCTCCAAACTAACCTACCTAGCTAACTAAGCATGATACTCATATGTGTAGAGATTCCAAAAAATATTCAACTATTATAATAGCACGACGAAAGAAGTTGAGATTTCACTATAAAATTAGTTGACAATATAGAAGTTTTCTTAACTTTTTGTAAAGACATGCAAGGTTGGTCCTTTAATTTACTGACATAGAATTTACACTTTAACACATTTTAGCATTCGCATAACTTGATCGGTCGTGTAATAGAAGGTATAGATAAAAAAATTAGTGAAACAATTACATTCAAGATTTTGCTATAGACATGTGCTAGACGTGTTAGTTAGTGTAAAGTGCTCATTTGTAGAGAATGAACAGAGGTACATAGACTCTTATTTCAAAATAAAATCACCTTTTATTCATGATTTAATTAGGTTTTTGGGCGTTGAATTTCATTCTTTTATTATACAGATATATTTATAATTCCAGCCGATCAAAATAGAAGAACCCACTAGTTATTGGCAGACATTGGAAGACTGCACACGGGAAGGTTCTTGCGCATATGCACGACTAGATCACTAAGTGTTTCATGCATGCATACATATATTATAATTATATAGATACTTAGGATAATTAGACCTAAAGTATATTGGACGATTTTGTCATCTTGTTCAACTTTTGTATATTCTAATATCACGTCCACCGTTTTGATTGAATGACTGCAAAGGGGAATTTACGAAACCTTCATCTCACAGTTCATCACTAGCTCCTTCCACTTCCCAGCATATATATCAACTAGGGATCTTGTGTCGAACTCTAGCTAGTTGCAGCACCAGAATATTAAACTAATCACTGATTAAGAAAGATAAATCATAACAATTTTTTTTTATAAATGTTTAGAGAGAGGGGAGGCTTCCCATCTCATCGTTATGGTATCTCACAGGTCTATTTAGAGATTTACAGAGGGGTGATCTTAACCCCTTTTTTAAGTTTTTACCAATACTCACCAAAAAGGATTGCCGGCAAAAGAACCCGAACCTAAGAAAGGTAAGTAGAAGAGAGTACAGTTATCATTTCTCA